TGCTTCCGGCAAACCTTGAGCATGTTGGGCTGGTTTATAATGGCTGCTACCAACCTCTCTATGGAGTCAGCCAGGTACACACATGCCAGAGTCAGCACACTACTGACAATGTTGGTGCACTCCTCCATCCTTCGTTCCGGCTTAGTGAGTGTCTCCGACAAAGCTGCCTGCTGCTCCTGTGCCTTTCTGTATAATTTTCATAACGTCATTAATAGCCAAGATATTTTCTGCCTGGGGCTCAGCAGGTGCCTAGTCTTCAACAGTCCTCTGAGAATCAGAGACATGGGTCATTTCTTCTTCAAGCAGCTATTGAAACTTGTCAGTTAGTCTAGATAATGCTCCAAAGTCTAATGTAGGTAGTGCACACAGTGAGCAGAATCTCTCTGAGTGGGTGAAAATCTTGTCAGGGCATCCTTTGAGAATGGAGTCACTTCCTCCTCAGAGGTGGAACTGGAGCTCTGGCAGTGGTCTCCTATTCACAGAGTTTTGTTGTGCACCAATAGTGCCTTCATTAGAGAAGGGTCACAGAGACATGGAGATGTACAGCACGGAAACAGACACTTCAGTCCAACTCGTCCATGCCAACCAGTTATCCCAAATTAATCTAGTCCCATTTCCCAGCATTTGGCCCATATCCCTCTAAACATTTCCTATTCATATACCCATGCAGATGCCTTTTAAATGTTGTAATTGGACCACCTCTACCACTTCTTCTGGCAGTGCATTCCATACATGCACTACTCTCTGCATGGAAATGTTGCCCCTTAGGTCCCCCGTAAATCTTTTCCCTCACACCTTAAACCTATACTCTCTAGTTTTGGACTCTGCTACCCTGGAAAAAAGGCACTTGTCTATTTACCCCATCCATGCCCCTCATGATTTTATAAATCTGTATAAGGTCACCTTTCAGCCTCCAAATTTAACAACGTCTTTCCTACAGCAGGGAGATCAGAACTGAACACAGTATTCCAAAAGTGGCCTAATTACGTCTTGTACAGCCACAACATAACCGCCCAGCTCCTATACTCAGTGCACTGATCAATAAATACAGGGAATTAGTTATCTAAGAAGGAGAAAAGCTTGTGCCAGTTAAGAATAAGATTAAATTGGTGGTAATGGGAGAGCATTACAGCACAATGAAGGTCACACACTGAGGTCTCCCTATTCCCTCGACTGATCATTCTGTTCTCTGACCAGCTCCAGAATCCCTTCCTCATAGGATGTGAGGAGTCTCATGTTTGTCATTCTTCCTTCGGTATTTCTTTTCCATTCATTAAAAGGAAGGGTGTCACTGGCTAGGGCAGCATTTATTGCTCATCCCTAATTGCCCTTGAATTGAGTGGATTGAGAGAGCCATTTCAGAGTCAACCACATTACAGTGATTCTGGAGTCACATGTAGGCCAGACCAGGTAAGGACAGCAGATACCTTGCCCTGAAAGACATCAGTGAACCCAAAGGGTTTTTACAAGATTGATAGTGGTTACATTGTTCCATTAGGCTACTTGTAATTCAGGTAAGGACAACAGATATCTTGCCCTGAAAGACATCTGTGAACCCGATGGGTTTTTTACAAGTTTGATAGTGATTACATAGTTCCATTAGGCTACTTTGTAATTCTAGATTTTTTTTATATTGAATTCAAGTTTCACCATCTGCTATGATAGGCTTTGAACCCATGGCCCCAGAGTATTAATTTGGCTTTCTGGATTAGTAGTCATTTCTATTAAGGTACCGCATTCCCTCTTGATATTTTGCTCTTGGCCTCTTCAGCTCAGTTGGAAGACAATTGTTTCTGCACTAAGAGAAAGGGAAGGATTAAGTATGATGGAAGTGGGTAGGAGAAGTGTCAGAGGTGATACAGAGCCAGCAGAGGTGTTGACATGTCTCCATTGAGTAGGTAAGAAGTGTAGAAGGTAGGAATCATTGTAGTTTGGGAGGAAGAAATGGATGAGAGCATTGAGTGGCCATGATGCATGCTGTGTTCAGAGATGTAGTCCTCCAGACTTGGTGAGAGGTGTGTGCAATGGTAGGATTGAGTAATGGTCCTGAGAGCCTGAACTAGGAGAGGGAAAATAGAGGCACTTACCCTTGGAAAGGGCAAAAGATCATTAATCTTCTTTCTGCAATTCTATGAATTGTGTTTTCTCAGTGACAGAGCATCTATCTGGGTTGCTATCTCTGTCCAGGCTGGCTTGGCCTCCTTTGCACACCCTTCCACCACCCTGTCTACCAGCACCTTCACATCTCTGAGGGTGAAGCAAAGAACTAACTTCCCCTTCTGGACCATATCCCAAATGTGCAGGTATAAACACCATTGCGTGAAAGGCAATTCCTGGCTTATAGTGACTAAAGTAATATGCAGCCTGGGCTTTAAATACGGTGCCAGTGGCATGAACACTGATAGGTCTCAGCAACAGCAAGCACTTCCAACTCTCTTAGCCCACAATGGAATGGTATGGGACCAGCAGAGCCCCGATGTATAATTAATGAGGTGAAAAGTGGACAATTGCGTGAGAAAATTGCTGTGAGGCATGGCAGGCCAGGCACTATAAATCTCGCTTAACAGGACACTTTGATCGAAAATGGGCAAGTTCAGCCAAAGATCAACGTTTGTGATAGTCTATTATTAAGTTTCTGGTGTTTTTGTAATTAGGAAGTTGACATAATCTAATGGGCTTCTTGAGCAAGGTTGGTTTTCTGTTCCCATCATTCTTTTGTGCTGTTTATGAATTTTATCTTCTACATGAGTAGTTCTTTCCAACTTGAAATTTTCTTCTTATTGCAACACACTTGAGGGAGAGGAATCTGAAATTCCAATGCCAACTCTATGTTGAGTAACAAGGTGTAGAGCTGGATGAACACAGCAGGCCAGGCAGCATCAGAGGAGCAGGAAAGCTGATGTTTCGGGTCTGGACCCTTCTTCAGAAATGGGGGAGAGGAAGGAGGCTCTGAAATAAATAGAGAGGGGGAGGCAATGATAGAAGGTGGATAGAGGAGCAGATAGGTGGAGAGAAGACAGACAGGTCAAGGAGG